AGCGAACCCTTTCAGCGACTGCTGGTCAGTGCGGAGGGATGGCACAATAACGATTATTCAGTAGGGCGCAAGTGGCTCACAAAAGAATTTAGGCGTGAGGTTGAATGCATTGCGATAGTCGGCTGCGGACTCACACCATATTGGACGCGCTTTTTTCCAACCTAAAAAAAAGCGGTCGCAGCCAATTTTGCCGACATATGCCTTGGCTGTTGTAACGGGCGCGCGAACTATTCCAGGGTATAATGCACAGTAGGAAGTCGAACTAAAATTATTATTGAGAAAAAGCGAACCTTTTTTCGGTCAACAAACTGAAATTCTCGTCAACTTGAGAGGAAGAGAGAGCAGTTTTCGTTCTGTTCAGAGACTAGGTTTTCGATGATTTTTCCTATACTATATCAAATCATATTCCACTGGGGTAATCAGAGCACTAATCGTCCTGTAACAGAGGTTCAAATGCGGTGAAGTTGAAAAAAATCAGGCTCAAATATTGTAGCTGGAAACGCGAAAATCATCAGCTAAAAATCATAAAATGGCACTATCCAACTATTACTGCCCCAAAGTCAAAAAAACTTCTTTTGTGAAACGTCGTTCACAAAGGTAGTTCTGTGTCCCGATCACGAATATAGCACTCGTTTTGGGCGCTGGCGTCGAGTTGGCGCCAGTTTGGCGCCGCCACCTTCCCCACCAATTTCGGTGTAAATTTGCATAATAGGTTTATTTGATGTCCTAATCACGAATACCGAATTATTTGCATTATTTGCAACAATGCACTTCTCAGCCCTGACGACACTTGGCGCCATTAGGCGCTGATTTAGCGCCGCACCCTTTTTCATCAAAATTGATAAAAACGCGCATAATGGGGTTGTTTGATGCCCTGATCACGAATATGACATTTATTCTCCGACGCCAGCGCCATTTAGCGCTTTTCTAAGGCTGAGCCTGGGGAAAGAGGGATTCCTTTTAGGTCAGGCCAGCCATACCGGAGCGCAGATAATCGCAGTCTTCCATCAGCGTCAGCGCCACGGATGAATGTATATCCAGTAATCAAGATGCTTAAAATGACAAATTTTCAGCGATTTAGTGACTAACAAATGTATTTTGGCATCGCCGAGTGCGCCGACGTAACATGCCCCTAGGTCAGGCCAAGTGGATGTGATGTGTGTTCAGGATGTCTAATTACTTCTAGAACCCAACTTCCAGCCATACCCGCCCTCGTAGAAAAAAAGTTGGTTAAGATCCGCCCTGTTTTCGGGAACTTGGGTTTTTTTCAGGTAGAGCGCGTCCAATATGGTGTAGGTCCGCAGCCGCTATCGCAATTGATCAACCTCACAGCCCAATTCCTTTTGTGAGCCACTACCGCGCCATCACTTAAATAACTTATTGGATGGGAATGGAGGACCAGGGATAACTACGACGGGTCTCTGGATGGCACGGCAAGGGACTGTTCTGGACCGGATTTCTCCTACGGCGGAGATGTTTTGCATTTTTCAGCTTCCCTTCATTCGCGCTGTGATGTCATGCGAAATAAGTCAAGTATATGCCATTTGGAGGCATATACTTGTGGCCACATTGTGGCCTGAAAGCGTGCTTGTGCTGCCCCTCGTATCTCATGTCAGAAGGGTTATTGCCAATGAAATACCATCACATTTGTTGGATTACCCTTGGGGACTAATTTCTAGCCAAATCTGACGTTTCGACCTAACTTGGAAAATGTGGGCCATTCTATGGACAATTAGCAGCAGGCTGGGGTCCACCCACCATGGATGACTGGTCTTGGGATGGAATTTTGCTACTTACATTTTGACTTTAATCGAATCTATTTTGAGGCCTAATTAGTGACCACCTCATAAACTATGCATGCTCGAAGTTTACAAGCAGAACGGAGCCCATTAACATTGTTAAAACCGCCCATTCTGTCAAATTCTTTTCACTCAGTTTTTGACCTACCCAGAAACGCATAGCAAAAATGAAACCCATTTTTGTGACCCTTGTATGGACCCCTACAACAAGCAACAAACCATTTCCAAAAAGCGCGCCATGACCTGAAACACCTCCCTTGTAAGCATTCACTTGCCGATGTCTCGCCATTGCAATCAAGGTCACTGAAAAGTGCCTCAAGTGCTATTACGAATAACTTTTGTTAAATCGTGTCTCCGTGGCGGACTCCTTTGCAGATTTCTATGTGAAACGGCTCGTTGAAAAGCTTGATCTCTGCAGTGAAGTTTCTGTTGAGTTCCCTCAATAGATCTGTACAATTAGGATTGAGGTCGTATCTGCATAATGCGCTTAATATCGCATTTGCTCGGATTGAAACATGCTTTATTACTATGGAAAGGTTTTTTAAAAGATTCTTCCTCGAAGCGGTTTTTGTAGGAATCGTGCGGGAAAAAGATCCAGCCGCATGATACACCACACGTGGTAGACCATTACACGCCCTACCCCGGATGACCGCCCCTTTTTGCTGCAACCCAATTGACACTCATATTGCACACATTTACTGTATCTATACTAGTTTGAGATAGAGCGTTATCGGACTAGCTCATCAATCGTCTAGTTTTCTTCAGAGGTCTGAAAGCTGCTCGAGGCGTCCAACTTGTTACCTACCCGGTTAACGCCCTGTCCATCTCGTGTTCGGCGGCTTTCTTGAACAATCGCGTTAGTAACCAAACGACTCACTAAAGGTCTGGCCGTGCGGAGTCTAGCTTACGTTATGTGTCAGTATTAGAAAGAGTCTCACTTGAACCTCAGCTAGTCGCATAAGTCCGAATTCTCGCAGCACACCTAGCCCTTCAGTGTCGCTCGCACTCTGATAGAAACGGCAGGAATCCATTTCTGATTTGCACAGTCATCGATTCTGTATCATTCATTCTTGCTTTTCTCGAGAAAACCCAGAATGACTTCAGAACTTCCTGTTAATTGCCCTCTCTGGTTCGCTGCTTCCAATCGGCGAACGCCAACGAGAGCTTGCTCGCGCATCGCCGCCACGATATGCAGCTCGGGACGGCGCGACGACTTAGGACTGTCTCGTCCGTCTCCTTAGACAAGATATATACAGGGGGGGGCAAAAAAAGTCACTTCGACGAGTCACATATCAGCAAAGTTTTCGCTGCCAGACAGAGGACGTGGATACGAGTACCAGGGCGGAAGATACCCAAGATGTTCCTCTATAAGCAGGAGCTGGCTCTCGCCCATCACCTTCATGTACACCAAAATATGAAGTCATCTCCAGTCGCAGCCTGATTGGAGAAGACCTGGAATTCACGTCACCTCCAAACAGCTGCGAAACTTCTAGTATGGAGTCACCCATGGATAGCTACCTGGAGACCAGTACTCTCGATCTGGATGACCTCCAACATCGAGCAGCTCCGACAACGTCGCCACGGTCTAGGACATCATCTTCACCACAGTCGTCAAGGCGCGGGTTGATGGTATGGACCGGACGTACCTGGAATGGGAAGACCAATATTTTTTTCGTGGACCCGGACATAAGGTGAGCGCTGGCGGTTACATTGAGCAACTCGTGAAGAATATTCTCCTCACATGTCGTCGTCCATACCTTCTTGGGAAAACGTTGTATGCTATAGGCATGAGTGCCACCACATGGATCGAAGGGCGTTGGAGAAACTCTCGCCTACTTGGAATGGAAGGGGGCTGGGTACCTAAAGAAGATGGAATATCCAAGTAGGTCACCTGACCTGAATCCCCTTCAGTTACCCGGTTGCGGAGTTCAACAGGTTGGTCTACGGTGGCGGAGATTATCGACTTCTACGCGTGGATATGATCTCATGGCACCACATCGGTCGCGCGCCAGAATCTCTCGATGGCGCTCGTCCAGAAGTCTGTGGCGGAGTGTCATAATAGTATTTAATATGCTCTTTAATATGGTGGTGGAAATGTCCGATGAGAATTTGATAAAGTGTAATTTATAGCGCCTCGAAAGTCAATGAAGAAAAGTGACTTTTTTTGGCCCCCCTGTATGCATACAAACAACACACGTTAGTGCTTTATGAAGTAGGAGCATTGTTTCACAGTTGTTAGGTTGCACGCATACTTCTGATAGACAGCACTCATATTTCGCGACTGAAATGTTTCAGTCGCGCGACTGCACTCCATGCTTAATCTTTAAACCGTTGCTACCGCAACTCTTCAACTACATCCTAGTAAGAGCTTCTTC